GGTTTTTATAATATCAATGTTATATAACTTCTGGATTTTTTTGTAGATGGTTAGCAGCAATAGAGCTGCATGGGACAATGTGAAGTCATCTCTCAAAATAATATGATATGACAGGCCAAGTGTATTCTGTCTTGATTTGCACCAGGGACTGGTGTAGAATATCTTACTGCAGTGCAGCCATTCCCAAATCGAACTGATGAAGTCAAAGATGCTTGTTAGTTCGAGAAGTGGGGGAAGAAACCCTGTGTTTTCTGAGAGTGTCGTCTCCTGGTCCTTAATGAATAGTGTATTGTAATACAGAATTTAAATTAAACATGTACCAGGAAGGGTATCCCAGGAAGGGATGCTTGGGTGTTATTTATTTCTACACCTCAATGGCAGTCAGCATACAGAAAACATGACACAATGAGCTCAGCATGTGGGGGTAATCGTGTAGGTAGGGGCCAATCTTTAATCTAGTTGAGGCCAGTAATGTCTGGATGTTGATGTGCAGTGTCATGTGCTGCCTTTTAGCATTTCCACATGGGCGATCTGTTACTTTGCAGCATTAGAATCTGCATTTGATTTCTTACTCTCTTATCCGACTCCTCAGGGATTCAGTAAATCCAGCAGTAATTTACAACTGCCATTCTCTTTGGGCTTTGACACATACGCAGTCAGGGATTAAAATCAGGCTTCTAAAGCGGTTACCACTTGCAGCCATCCACCCTGCCCTTCTGACGGAGATTGCCAGTGCCACCACAGCAAGTCTGAAAACCCAGCGAAGCAACTCCTGAACATCTCAAGCCTGTTTACTGAGGTAAATAGATCCACTTTGAATTTAATGCTTAGCTGAGAACAGCAGCAGTACAGAAGCTGATTCATAAATCATGCAGCAATCTTTGTCAGAGGTCGGGCAGCAACTTGGGCAGCACCCATCTGAGCCATCTGATTTTATTCTGCTTCTTCATGTGAATGAACCCTTGGACTTCAATGGTTACAAGGTAGTAAATGACAATCCTTCCAAAAGCAATTGTTCAGAACAACAGGGCTACTTCAGATGCTTTGCAGACTATTATTTTACTGAGTGCTTTACAGACTCTCAGTTTTTGTTGGTTACGATTTTTTTTTTGCTTTTTTTAAAATTTTCACAGCCACAAATGCAGCAGAAATGAGGGTTTGCTGCACATCCTCCTTTGAACCCCAATAAGAAGTGTCTTAAGTCACTGTCTCCACATTGGAAAATCTCTCTCTTTCAGACACTTGGGTGCAATTATATAGCAAACTCAGAAGTATTATATAGCAAATTATGTAGGCTCTTATTTACATGTTATTATCATACAGAGTGAGCAATCAAAGTAGTTGTTGATTTTAAATGATAAACTTTTATTCTGAATATACTGTTTGCACAAGAATTCAGAACAACAGGGCTACTTCAGATGCTTTGCAGACTATTATTTTACTGAGTGCTTTACAGACTCTCAGTTTTTGTTGGTTACGATTTTTTTTTTGCTTTTTTTAAAATTTTCACAGCCACAAATGAAGCAGAAATGAGGGTTTGCTGCACATCCTCCTTTGAACCCCAATAAGAAGTGTCTTAAGTCACTGTCTCCACATTGGAAAATCTCTCTCTTTCAGACACTTGGGTGCAATTATATAGCAAACTCAGAAGTATTATATAGCAAATTATGTAGGCTCTTATTTACATGTTATTATCATACAGAGTGAGCAATCAAAGTAGTTGTTGATTTTAAATGATAAACTTTTATTCTGAATATACTGTTTTTGCACAAGAATTAACACAACAGTTCTAGGATTATAAACTTTTTATAACATTATTGTACAAATTTTTACAAAAAATTATTTTTCCAGGCTTGTCAAGTTCCACAAAAGTGTCAAGAGAACACAAGAAAAGGGAGAAAGACCTGCTTGCCTTGTAAGAGCAATCAAGCCTTTTTTTGTAGAAACGCACACTGAGCATTTCAATAAAAATATCCCAGAAAGCATGATCCAGACATTCCATACAACACAAGAAGAGAAGACAGCTTTGTCAGATCACAATCGCAATTTCATGGCATCTGAACAAGACAGTATCCCTTTAGCCTCAGTGAAATTATTTCTTCAAGATGATGTTTTTGTTTTAAACCATAAACAGGACAGATGCAAGTAGCTGGGAAGAGGGTGAGGCTAACTTTTCAAAACTCTTGAATTGTTTTCAGACACTTTGTTTTAATCTTTTTACAGTAGTGTACAATGCGTATTAACAATATTAACATTGTGGTTTGGAAAAAAAAAAAAATCTGGCCTTTGTTAAAGGCTTGGATGTCTGATGAAGCTAGGATAAAATTTATCTTAAGGAAGGAGTTATTAAGATTTCACCTTCAGTCGACATTCCGAAAACACCCGAGTGCATTGCAGTGCCTTGTAGGCATTAATATACTTCTTAATAACCAGTGTGCTAGCATCTGAATTTTTAGGACCGGTGGGACTGAGGTTGTGTTTTGAAATTAAGACATACTAAGCATGTTTTCTGAGCTTAAGTGTTAATGGAACAAAAGGTCTTAATGTCTCTTCAGTGATACCGAAAAACCACAGCAAGTAACACTTGGGTTGCAAAGGTCACTTAAAAGGGATACTGCCTATTTGAACCCAGTAAGGCCAGTTTTTAAGTTAGTAAAAGGAATATTATAGGAAAACTTATAAATGGCAGCAACACTGTTTTTTGTCAAGTTAAGCAGTAAAGCCTCAAGCATTAGAAACATGAAAAAGATCATACTAAAGTCTTAAAGGTATAGGACCTAAAAATCTTGTCAATTAAACCTGCTATGTCATGTTAAAAACCTGTTACAAATATGGACCACGGTCAGTGTTTTGGCAGTAATGCTGGTTGTTTAAATGAAAAACTAGAAAGAAACCTTTCATGTTAAGTCCTCAGATCATGTTTTGCACAGTACCATGCTGTAACAACTGTAATGGTGGTTATTTGTCAGACATACAGTAGGCTGCATGACTTCTGTGTAAACTGAAACGGTCCCAACAGTTCCCTTAGTGCTATTTAAAGGATCTGAGCAAATATCAACAGAGCTTTTTAACTGGCTTTAAAAAAAAAAACCCAAAACTTTTTACAACATATTGTGATTTGAAAATGTCTCAATTTAAAGCCTAGGATAAAGTTTCTTCTCTCACAGACAAGAGAAGATTACTATTATGCATTATGTGAGACTAAGGATACTCTTCTGCATGAGAATATGTATTTATTCATGCAAGTTATTTCTAACAGACTGGTATTCACATTTTGAGATAGCTAAAGTTCACATTGCACTTTCTATTTGTGTTTTGTAATTTGCAGATATCTAGGTAGTGCATTTTAAAAAATCTTGACCATCACTTGGATATAATCAAAATATATATTGCTTTCTGCAAAAAGAAGCCAAAATTTCATTTTTTTTCCTTTTTAAAGTATTGAGTTCTATGGGGACAGTACTAAGCCCTCCTAGGAGGGCCAGCTCCTGAGTTTTCTATGAGACGGGTATAATGGCTGGAAAGCTAAGTGTTTATACAGAAACATTTCTTCAGGTCATAGAGAGGGGCAGAGGAGAGGAACAAACGACATTTCCTTCTGCAGATAACCCAAGAAGGCTAATGTGTCTGCATGGCATGGCCTTCTCCCTCCTTTTGTATTTGAGCACTCTAAGGGAAGTGGGATGAGAGCAAAAGCCACGGGTTTTTTTTCTGTGGCAGCATGGCTTTGTGCCATCTTTCTTTCTGCCTACAGACTCTAATCGAATGTTTATTAAGTAGCTCAAAATATGGCCTACCAGCATAAGCAAATTGTTCCAAAATGTTAAATAATGTAACTTTTCCATGAAGGGTTTCTTTTGGGAAGCTAAGTGAAAACTATAAAGAACTTAATATACTGACAATCTTTCAAGAAAATAAAAAAGCAAAATGCAAACTAATATGCATTTTAAGTAACTTTAGAGTAAAAGCTATGAGTGTAATAAGTATTGGCCTAATCCTACAAAACTTGTTTCTCCCATAAAATTTCAATTGACCAAGTTAAGGAAAAATACAGGATGCAGTCTCAGCATTAGAAAGACTCAAACCAATTTTTTATCCGGTGGTAACTGGTGATAGGGTGAAGAGAAGTGCAGTAATATGACTGGAAGGAAGAGCTCCAAGATTACCTTCACCCATATTATCAAAATTAGCTCACCTTCCCTGAGGAGGACCTGAAGTCATCCAACACAGTTAATCGTACTTTTAACCCCATGACTTTACTAGAGATATTTTTTTAAAAAGCTAAATCTGATCACTGGGCAAAAGGTCAGGTTTTATTGTTTTCACTCACTGTATTCCCAAACATGAGAAAATACATAGCTGGAGCCAAGGTACATGAGAAAAACAACGAACCAGCCATGGGTACAACTACAGTAGACAACTGATCTTTTAAGCCGTGCCATGGCTTTGAGTAGCTTCTTCAGTTTTCATAGGATATTAATGCATGCCCAATTATTTCTTTAAGCTTTTGGCATGATCAAAATTATACCAATCAATTGCCAGCATATACATACCAATGCTTTGCATTTTCTTATTTTTTTAAAGAGCTAGAGTATTGTGCCATGTTAATATTTGCATATTGCAGTGGTTAGCAGAATTGTACAATACCAGCGGAGTTGCACATTGATTGGTTTAGCTGTCTTGCAATACTGTTTAGTTCTGAAAACTAGAAAAAAAGCACAAATCATATTTGCATCAACACTATGCTACACTTTAATATTGTAATTTACTGCACCAATCTGTATCACCAATGAGGTTGTATAAAAACAACTTCTGAAATTATTATTCACAATCAAGTATCAATGTGCATACATATAGATTCAAGGCTCCCCATTTGTTTAGATTTTTTCTAATCTTAGCAACCAGGACATTTTGCTGTTAAATATGCTATTTTCAAAAATAGCGACCGACAGCAGAAGTTTTAATATTATGGGTGTTTATATGAAGGAAACAAAGGGGTCAATAAAAAATAGCGACAGCAGAAGTTTTAATATTATGGGTGTTTATATGAAGGAAACAAAGGGGGAACCTGATATGAACCTTAGAGAACATATACTTCCAAAAATAAATGTGTTAAATCTGATTTTTATATACTTAAAATATCTGTACACAGGTTTTCATGTGAGATCACTATTCTGTAAAAAATCCAACTCAACCCTTTTGTTACAATAACTAAATTTACCCTATTTTCTCAGCTTTTCATTGCACAGTATATTCAGAGCTCTGTTTCATAATATAATTTAATATGATTCGATTGCAACACATTGCAATGTTCAGTTTCTCACACAAAAGAATCACTCAGTTACCTTTTCAATGGACTATACTCTACCATCAAAGAAAACAAACTGAAAAACAATAACATAGCATCATCATCATGCAAAATACCCTTGGAAACCAACGTTCAAATATCACAAAGACATTTTTTATTCACAAGCGTTTTTGTTTGAGCCTTTGAAGGATTCTACTAGCTTTATATATAACTGCATTGTGAAAAGGAGGTGAATATTACATTGAAATTAACATTTTTCTGACAGAAGGTGACACCAAGTTTAAGATGAGAATCACTTTTTAGTTAAACTCTCAAGCACCTTTATATTTTTAAAAACAGAAGTTTCCTTCCTTCCTTCCTTCAAACTAACAATTTATCAACATTCCAAAACCTAGCTGGCTACATGATTCCTTTTGGAAGAATAAACCACTCATCATAAAGCATTTCAATCATGCTGAACTTCTGATGAAAACTAGCCAATATTTTCATTTTACTCAAGTAGTTTGGACAAAACTGATGTTCAAAGCACCCATCATGGTGCTAGTAATGTATATTGGGGAGTACATTTTCTTGTTTCTTTTTTTTTTTTTTAAATAACTGTTCATGTAAAAGAATATAAATCTTCAAGATGTCCAAAGGTTAAAAGAAATGAAAATCATATACATAACCTATTGTCAGGGGAGCCCTTTTACATGAAGTCATCAAGTTTACAACAACAAACAAACGAAAAAGAAATAATAATCTTAGATTCCCCAGTGGAGCACGTACAGAATTCTGTTCGGATGGCATAGATGATGCAGCATTCACACACGTTTAAGGATCCGACACTCCAACATGCAGCCACTGTGGGTGCCTTTATGAGTCTCACAACGAGTGATAACCAGACATGAGCATTGCTGTTCTGCTGCTGTCTGAATAGCTGACCCTTTTTAAAATGAAACTGAGGCTATCGTTTTGGCCAGGTCTTGATTAAGTTATGCAGGTTTTGGTTTAGCAAGGTCATAACTGGCAGTGTCTGCTGCCAGATAACAGCCAAAGCAGGACCAACTGAATTCCTACCATAGACCACAGTGATGGACTCAGACCAGAGACACCACCGCAGTCAGCCGAATCTTCCTGTTGACAAGAAAAGAAGAAATCATTTAACATTAACTACAACTAAATTTCCTGAGAAGTAATCTACATTTTAGCCTTCAACATTTTGAACTATCCTTGAGGCATCCTTTTTGGTCTTATATATGTTATTTTACCTAAAATAACAGCAAAATAATTCCTGGAAGTTTGTCTGATTTTTGATACAAAGAGTGGCATTACTACATTAACTATAAGCATGGGAGGATTAAAAACTTACAAGGCTTACTGCAGTTACTTATGAACTAGATGGGATACTCACACAATCAAACAAGAAATGCTATGGGATATATCTGGGGGCCCCAGTAAACCACATCTATATTCCTTAAAATTACATCAATTTGGAGATTTTCAGCATCACTTTATTGCGAGGAAAGATGGAAGAACAGATAATTTTTCAAGATTAGAAAACAAACACCAGAATATGTTCATGTCCATTTCATCAACATGATTGCACATTAAAACAAATATGCTCTGCAGGTGAAGATATGATGAAAGAAAATGAAAATCCTTTCTCTGTCTCTGATGCTGTATTCAAGCACGCGAACCAAATTTTCTATTGGCTTTTTGTACGCGTTTGATGCAGTCTGTAGAGAAGACACCCTCCAGTTTGAGGGCCTGCTCTGAGCTGCACCGCTATGCCATGCATCAGTGGACCTAATTATTCATTATGCCACACAGCAATCACACCTCTTTTCCCATTCCTCTTTACCATTAATTGCTGTTATTTGGTTCCACTTTGCCTATAATGCATAATATCTTTCACATTATGGACTTATTTATTAGTCTGGCTGAAATACATTTAATTGAGTCTGTAACATCTTTACACCTTCTTGTTTCTCAGGACTGATACAATCTATGTTTAGCTGCCTAAAACACCAGGACAATGTTCCAGCCATCCCCTGCACTGCTCTGTCCAATGAGTCTGAGATTCATGGGTAGCTCTGAAGGCTGAAAATATTTGGTCTTCCTCTTGTTTTCACTGTATTCTGTACCCATAGTATAAAAAGACACTCTCCATTTTCCAAGACATCCCAAGCCTCCAAGGACAAGACAATAGCAGAGGTGGGAAGGGACTTAGGTATATTAGGAACTGGGGCAACTTCTTGAACAGGAGGAATTTGTGCAGGGAAGGACAGACTGCACCTTAACAGTAACAGAGCCCGGCTGCCGGCACAGAGATTAAAAAGGTTTTAGAACATAAAGCAGAGGAAAGCCAACGAGCATGGAACAGCTCCTGGTTCAGACTGACATGCCACTGAGGCATATGTAACTAATATTCAATGTGCCTCAGAAAAGGCTTGGAGGGGGGTTGGGGATAAAAAGTACAATCAGGATAAATAAGGAAGGGTCATTAGAACACCTTTAATTTATTGGCACATCCTTAAGCAAAACTTTCAAGTGCTTCTACACAAATGCTAGGAACATAAAATTAAGATGGGGGCATGAAGAGAAGTCATCAATGAACCATCCCAAAATAACACACATATCAGAAACCTGATGGAAGGAGAATAATCAGTATTACTGAGCATTGTCAGGCTACCAACTTTGTAAGAATGGCAGTGTAGGACATACAGCAGAAGGGTAGTATGTAAAGGATAATACAAAGTGTAATAGCATAAAAGTATTACAGGGAAAGGAAAGTGTGATGGAATCTCTGTGGGTAAGAAATGTCAGAGTCTAATAATAAAAATGTAATACTAGGATTGCACTGCTGACCACCTGATCAAAGTGACAATATCAATCATGAGATGTTATGTGAGATTAGAAAAGCCATATATAAACTGGATCAATGCCTTATCAAAAAGTGATGTAGAGATCACATTTTTGGATATGATAAATGACTGCCTTTTGGAACAAACAGTCTTTGAATCTTTAGTGGTGCACAGGGGCCTTTTCAAAATTATTAGTAGAGAGCTGCTCCGTATAGTTCTAGTATAGCTCTAGTAGCTTTGTAGACCACAATGCAATAGGAATTAGTATTGTTGTGTGAGAGATCAGGCCAAACAAATCCAAAACAAAAGATACCAATTTCAAGAAAGGGAACTATGTGAAAATTATGAAAAGGAGTTAAAAAACCCCAGACAACCCAAAACCAAGAAAACAGAAAGAAACCCTTAACAAACAAAAAGCAGAAACCAGGAAAAAAACTAGAAGCATCATCTCAAAAAGCAAGTCCCTCACAAGGAACCAGAAGTATATTTAGAAATATTGCATTAGATATTCATGTAAAATGAATGCCACAATTAGAACAATCAACCATCCCCCTCCCCCAAAAACCAACCCCAAAACAAATAAAAAACACCACCACCACTCCCCCCCAAAAAAATCCCCAACAAACCCAAAACCCCAAAGAAACACCCCTGCATGAATCAGTTATTGCATTAGATATTCATGTAAAATGAATGCCACAATTAGAACAATCAACCATCCCCCTCCCCCAAAAACCAACCCCAAAACAAATAAAAAACACCACCACCACTCCCCCCCAAAAAAATCCCCAACAAACCCAAAACCCCAAAGAAACACCCCTGCATGAATCAGTAGGGAAATGAGAAAGGCAAAAGCCCAGCTAGAACGCAATCTGGCCAGTGTCATTAGAGACAACAAAAAAAGCTTTTAAAATATTTTATTAATGCCTTCTTTGCCTCAGTCTTTAATAGTCAGACCAGTTACCCTCAGGGTATTCAGCCCCCTGAGGTGGAAGACAGGGATGGCGAGCAGGATAAACCCCCATAATCCAAGAGGAAGCAGTTAATGACCTGCTACGCCACCTGGACGCTCACAGGTCTATGGGGCCAGATGGGATCCACCCGAGAGTGCTGAGGGAGCTGGCGGAGGTGCTCGCCAAG